TTGAAAAAGTTCCAAGCAGGAGACAGTCACTGATTCACCTTGTGAATCAGAGTATATAGCAGCAAGCGAGGTAGCAAAGGAGGCTATATGGCTAAAGAACTTCATTGGAGACCTTGGAGTTGTACCGGTTATAAAGGAGCCTATGGAAATTTTCTGTGGTAGTGAAAGTGCAGTTGCCTTAGCCAAGGAACCAAGGAATCATGGAAGATCCAAACACATTGATAGAAAATACCATTTCATCAGACATCAAATAGAAGAAGGAATCCTCATGGAAAATAGGTTATCATTGGATGAGAACCCAGCAGATCCCCCACGAAGGGATTGGGTAGGGTTAAGCATCTTCAGCATGCGAGGCGCATATGGCTAAAGGATGATATTAGTTTTAGAAATTAGATAGCTTTTGAAAATTGTAAAGTGTAATTGACATTTGATGATAAATAAAAGTTTTTTTTATTTATAAGTATAAGCGTTGATATCTTTTGCCAATCGTTTACTATCATTTCATTTTGCATGTTTTGATTTCCAGAATAATTATGTTATGGTGTATCATATTATTCAAAATCTACACAGTTGGTCATATGTTGGAAGTAGATATGAATCAAGACTATCATGAGTTGGCTTGTAGATGTCTAAGTTGTTGGACATAGCAAGAAGTGCTACAACACTAATGAGTGCTCATACGTTCTGAGTATTGGATTCAACCCATGCTCCTTGTATCACTTCATGGAATTTATCTCGAGTGATCGTGAGAAGGTAATATCATATAAGTCATCAAACATAGAGATATGAGTTGTTGACTATGAGTTGGTTATACATTGATTGTAGGAAAACACATTGATAACTCGATGTTATAAAATGGGCGTTTGTGTATGATTCAACAAGTAGAAGAACAAGCATATGAGTCGAAGTTTATATGTTCCTTACTGGATTAGAAGCGATATTTGGGCTGCTCGATGATTTTATTTTGACCTATGTACCGGGCTTGGTTAGAATTAAATTGATGTGTTCAATTAAGTTCTATGTCAAACAAATCGGAAATCGGGAAACAAACTGTTGGACAAGAAGTAAGACATTGTTCCATGTATTTTTCCGGCTGATATCTAGAACAGAGGATTATATGATCACTTATCTTAAATGGCATATCATCATCATCCTAGTTCCGTGAGAGCTTGAAAGAGATATGATTGTTCATTGGTTCCTGAAGTCATTCTTGCAGCTATAGTTATTAGACTTATCCAAGTAAGAGACTGTTGGATTAGGTCCATTTGGTTGCATGGCATTGCAACACTTGTATAGACTAAATGAGAGAAAGCACACTTAAGGATTATTAATATATTATATGTTCTAATATATTAATAATTTTATTTAATTAGTATTGATCAAAGAATTAATTTGGAATTAATTAAGTGATCCAAAAGAGACTAATTAAATATATGGGCTTGATTGTGTAAATCATCTATTCTTGTATAGTGGGATAATGATCCATGTTTTATATGAATTGAGCTAAACCCATAAGGTGCTCCATGGATAGTCCATGGGAGTTATAAACCCATGGATCATGGAATATGGAAAGCCATCACAATTAGGGTTTACATGGTGTAACCCTACTTGTGTCACAACTATATAAAGACCCAATGTCTAAGAAAATCTGCCACTACAAGCAAGTGTAAGAGGGCTATCCGATTTTGAGTGTAAGTGATCTTCTCTCAAGCTTATTCTAAGTATTGCGGTGTTGTGTGAGACATTTGAGGCATCACACTTGAGGTGCTAGGCTCACAAGGTTCTCAAGGAATCCAAACAACAAAAGGTATGTACTTCAACTAGATATTATGTTTAAAAGTTCCCCATGCCATGCTAGTTAGGTTTAGAACCTAGGAAAATCAAATTTGCATGTATCTTAGTAAAACATATATCATAGGTTTCTAGGGTTGCATGTACACATTAGGAGTGTTAGAATGCTCAAAACCATTCAAATATTTCTTGCCATATTGGAAGAGTAACAATAATTATTCAAATCTATTTCTAACCCACTACTAAGCAATAAAGAGTAAACTCCAATCTTGGTGACAGGTGAGAGTTTCCTATTCCCCATGATCAAGTTTATCTTCCCTTGTGCCACATCCTCACTTCTTTTTTAGCCTTGCATGTCAGAACAAATGTGAAATCGACAACCTATATCAAGGACCCAAGAGTTATCATGCGATGAGTTTTTAGATAGAATAAAGTAAATACCTACATGGGTGGCAACCTTCATATCCTTAACATCATGTACGTACTTGGGGAAGCTTCGCTTCCATTTCCCTTAATCATGATAATAAAAGCTCTCTGTTTCCTTTGCATTGGTTGAGGGAGTAGCAGAACCACCTTTAGTTCCACTTGAAGAGGATCCATCAAGCGACTTTCCCTTTTGGCCCTTTAAAGGGGTCTTCCTCTTCTTCCCTTTGCCATGCCCAATCGCTAGAATAGGGGAGGTAGTAGGAGTAAGAACAACTGATTTGCCTTTGAGAATTCTTTTAGTAGTCCTCAAAATCCATTGAAGTTTTCTAAGGGTGACCTCCTCCTTGTTCATACGATAGGTCATGCGGAACTGATCATAACATGGAGGTAAGGAGTGTAGAATGATATGTATAGCCAACTCCTCATCGAAGTTCATATTTAACTTCTACAAGTTGGACGTGATGGACTCTCCATCCTTCAACTTAGTTGTTATCATGGAAGAGATGATTTCATACCTCTCTTGACGAGCACTCTGATGGTATGTTTCCATCAATTCTTGGTGCATCTCAAAAGGGTAGAAGTCCTCACAGGACTCCTATATGGCTGGCATCCATCTCATAAGTCCTAAACTTAGCGATCTCCTCAGGAGAAGCAGAAGACTCATCGTTTTCTGTAACCTCCTTGTCTAGTACATATTCATTGTCTTTATAGCAAGTGACCATCCTAATCTTCCAAATCCAGTCATTGAAGTTAGTGCCATCAAAGATGACTCTCCCACACAAGTTCATGAGAGAGACAGAGCTAATAGGGTTTGAGCTAGAAGTATGGTTGGAAAGATCTGAAAAAGAAAGGAAAAGTTTGGATTACATACGAGTCCTTAATATAACAACCAAATCAAATATTAAGGCTAGAACCCAACACAATATTTTACAATTTGGAAGAGGGATGCGATTATCCAACTTGCAAAATATTTGAAGGTAGGTAAATGACGACTTACCAATTTCCACCATGAATAATGAAATTAATTATTAAGTTTTATTTGGATTGAAATTCCTAGATTCTATTGAGATTCATTGAACTTTTCAATGGCATGTTTAAATCTCGATTATTGCCTTCAAGTTTGTGACTGGGATACTGAGGATTACAAATCAGGTGTGAATAACCATGCAAATTTACTTGGTACACTTGATGTCATTTATCCCCTAATCGATGCGCCGATTAACCATACATGCTCCACCGATCTATGACAAACATCAAGCTACCCTTTGCAATCCTTACTAGTCCATGTTAATGTACCGGTTAACAACACATGTTTCATTAACGATTTGGCAAGGTGCAAAGTGCAATTTCATGGATTAGCATCAATTTCACATTTTACTAAAGTAACTAAGATTGGGGATTTAATAAAAGATTTAGTTACTTTATAATTATCATTATACTTTTAATGCGAATTCATGTCCTATCCTACCCGTTCGACTAAAGAACCTCCACCAGTCAAGGAAGCGGTCGGTAAGAGTGGATACCCATTAAACCACCATTTTATAGGTAGTAACCTTATACCCCCCCTTATAAATCGGCTTCATGAATGAGGCCTACTAACGTTAAGATTGACTTGTATTATATATATATATAATTATTAAACTTTTAATATTATAATAGTATAACGGTTGAATTCCATACTTTTCAAATTCTAGGGTTTGGAATTAAAGTATTCATGAGTGTGGCTGTAAAATGCCAAAACTTGAGGACAAATTTTGAAACTATTCAAAACTTTTCATTTCCTTAACTTATGAGTTTAATGACCTTTTAAAGAAAAGACTTTTCATTTTCAATAACCTATGATTTTAATGTCTTTTAAAAATGAGACTTTTCATTTTCCATAACTTGAGGACAAGTTATGGAGTCGATTAAAAACATTTAGATCATTATTTTAATTAACATAATAATCAAGTAATTCATACATGATCTAGTTAAACTCATAAGAACAAGATAATTCATATCATCAATCTTCAAGAAATTAGCCTAATCATATAAACTAATATAAATCTTAAAATTATGACAACTATATTTTAATTGGAGAAGCATGATCATTACCTTATAAAAAAATAGATTTCATGGTTCAATCACTACTAGAAAAAAGGCCTTTTACGACGCGCAAAATACGACGCTCATTGATCTATGTTACGCAAAGGAGAGTGACATTAGAAAAATGTCATCTCTTCAAAAAATTTAAGGATAGAAGACACGCATTATTCCGCGCCCTTAAATTAGTGTCTAAAAAAAAACACGGAGGGCACCTATAATAAAATGCGCGTCGTCTAAGGATGTCGCTTTATATTTTTTAATGGAACGCGCGTTCCATCCTTTAATAGTGGGGGAAAGGGGGAAATGAAATTCTGAAAAAATTAAAAACCCCGCCATGCTCTCCTCTACCTTCTTTCAATCGTTCTTCTCTCTCTCTCTCTCTCTCTCTCTCTCTCTCAATCAAATACCAAAAATCGACTACTGTTGGAACTAGGGTTCCGGTTCTTAGTGAAATCGAAGGTTTTTTGGTCACCAGGCCATCAAATTGATCAAAGGGGTACAGTTTTTGGAACCATGACTATTGTTGGAACTAGGGTTTCAGTTCAAAAACCCTTCATCTACTTCCCTCGATCTTCAGTTCCTCAAGTACATTCTCAGCCTCTCAATCAATAGAAGAGCTGTATCACAACTACAAATTTTGAGTGATTTCCATATCAAGTAGAACAATAGCTCCATTAAAGTCAAGGCCTCGAAACTCCATGGTCAATCACCATCAACATTCTACTTCTTTATTTGTTCCAGAGGTTTGTCTTCCTTTATTACGAGTTTTATAACCTTTTTAATCAAACTCGATTAGCCCTCGATACCTAATGTTATCGTTTGCATTGTTGCTTCTGCTCTGTTCTTCTTGAAACCTCCCCACACTCTCATGTCGAAACATAATTTATGATATCGAGTTGGAAATCAGTAGAAATGGCTATGAAGGTCGGTTGGGTTGGACGATTCTTTGGAGGACGAGAGAGATTTGGACATGGCAGATCGTAGGGCTACAGAGATTGAGCTTGATACCATGGAGGGTTTTGCGTAGGGCTACAGAGAGATTGATCTTGGTTGATGGGCCAGATACTTCCTCCTTCACTGCATTTCTCTACTCATTCTTATCACCAGGAAGATCAGAAAACGAGTCTGAATATTCAGAATGGAACGACAACCAAGTGGTAACTAGCTACAGAAATGACACATCATCCCCAAACGTTTCAAAAGAAAACAATGGAAAGAAAGGTCTATTCTCTAAGGGAAAACAGTCACTCAGCAAGGCTCTTTCACAAGCTGCTAGGTTTAGTGGGTATCGATCTCATGCATCTGGGAAAGTAAACACTGAATTAAAGATTGATGACATGAAAGAAACAAGCTCTCAATTTGACACTAATGATGGGGTTCCTGTACAAAATGTGATTGCATCTTTTCCTTCTAATAAACTTCCAAAAATGTCAGAACCTTCACAACTTATGACAGAAATACACGTTCTGATCTTTATGTTGCACTCCCTGTTCTCAGTCAAGGAAAGAAATGGGTCTTACTATACAGGTAAAACTTCATCTTCTTCATATTTTCAGTTTCACATTATTCTTGAATCTTGATATATCATTATCTTTTTTATATGTTAGTACATGGAGGCATGGCATATCTCTTTCAACCTTATATAGAAGAAGCAATCTTTGCCCTGGGTTAAGTCTACTGGTAATGTCTTGTCTTCAGTAACTATGCAAAATGTCAACTTTACCCTTTAACTGAAACTTGATTAAACATTTTCAGGTCGTTGGAGATCGTAAAGGTGCAGTGTTTGGTGGTTTAGTTGAGGCACCTTTGAAACCATCAACAAAGAAAAGATACCAGGTTTGTAATTGTTTAATTAAGTTCGTTTCTCTATATGTTGACAAAAGACTTTTCTACCCTTTTTCACTATGATGAGTAAATACTATACAGGGATCGAATGATACATTTGTGTTTACAAATACACCAGGGCGTCCTGTTATATATCGCCCCACAGGTACTGCATTTTCTTGATAATATATAAAAAAATCTTTTATAATTTTAATATTTATTTGGGATTTATTATGTTAATTGTGCATTTATTAGGGGTGAATCGGTATTTTACTCTTTGTTCAACTGAGTATTTAGCGCTTGGTGGGGAAATCATTTTGCATTGTATCTCGATAGTGACTTGTACGAGTGTTGCACTTGCATCATTCCTATTTTTCTTTTTGAGGGATAATATGGTAATTTGGCAATTTGCATATTTTTTTCCCCAAATTGAATGGGTCAAGTTTGGCCTGAGAAACTTATGGTAACTCTTGTTTGTCACACACCCAAGAATTTGAAGTGAAGGAAATTGAGGTGCTTTCTCTCACTTATTTTTGCAAAAATTACATTTTTGGTCCTCGAGTATGGCTGATTTTGTTCAATTTGGGTCCTACAAAATTCTCTTGCAAATTTGATCCTTATTTGAGGTTTTTGTAACGTTTTTACTCTTCGTTCCAAGTAAAATGAGTTGGGACTAAAATTGAAAAGATCAGCAATACTCAGGGACCAAAAATGGTCATCTTACTTAGAACAAGGACTGAAACTCTATAAGAAATTTCAAAGGACCAAAATTGTAAGAGAATTTTTGGGGACCAAAATTGAAAAAAATGGTTCGGGACCAAAAATAGTCAAATAAGGACTAAAGTTGCAAGAGAAAACTTTTTGGGACCAAAATCAGGAAAATTAGAGATTCTCAGGGACCAAAAGTGTAATTTAATATAAATAGTTTGCATAAGTTGAGTTGATATGAATGTCAATGTGTGCAGCTGTGGGGGTTTGTATATGCTTCAGAGTATGAAGAGGCGATATCAATGTTGAGGACAGAAGCACTTGGGATATGTCGATGGTAGATTGATGATTATGCCCTTCATCTTGTATATATTTTAACATGGGTGTTCCATATCCATTGCTATGTTTGTTGAAACTTGGTTTGTTGGATTTCAACGTAGATAACTTTTTGGATTTATGATATACTTATAAAAGATTGATAAAGCGAGGGGTTTGTGTTAACAAGTCAACGGAAATATATTTTCTGATTTTGTCAATCTTTTTAAAGAGCTACTCTTTCCACTTTTCATCCTTAACAGATAACACTTTTTATCTTTTTCTTGTTTTCTCTTTCAAATGGTGTACCTTTTAACTTTTATGGATGACCTATATAATAGTGATAACTACAATTAAACAAAGTAGCATCCACTTCTCAGGTTTATACTGCCCCTGATTCTGCCTGGTATAAAATGCCTAAGTCTACAAGGTGAGCTTTGTGGTTGGACATGCTTTTACATTGGTGTGGCTGCTGTTGCTTTTGGATGCTCTTATTATCACCTCAAACCAAATGATGGTCACCTTGTTTGGGATCGTTTGCCTGTAAGTTATATCATTCCTCATATTTAACAAATTTCAATATATAAATGATTAAATTCTCATGTTTTCTGTACTTTTTTGCTGATAGAAACCGTGAAGCTTCTGTTGGGCCACACATTATTAACCACTTATTTCTGTTTCCTCTTAAATCAAGGTAGTCTATGGGTATTTTTTTATGTGAAGCTCGTCTTTTTTGCAATGATAGTGTATGTGTATTTTTTTATGTGAAGTTCGTCTTTTTTTGACTTTTGACTTTTATATTTTTGCATTGTGTGGTTATGATTTGTTTCAGACATCAGGAATCTTAAAGCAAAATGAAGTGAATTCCAAAAGTAGTACAAAGATGGAATCACCTATTCCGATTCCAATAACCTCTTATTTTTGTCATTAGTTAAAATTTTCAGATATTAATATGAAGTGTTTTATAATTGGTTAATGTATAAAATGAGTTTGGTTTCAGTTTGATGCTAAGTTGAAGGCTGCAGTTGAGAAAGAGGTTGGTAGGATAAGAGGTTTGGTTGGATTAGCTTTTTCCACAGCACAGAAGGTTAGGGACAGGTCTATATTTTTTTTCTTGATTAAGTCTTGTTTTTGTTAAGTAAACAAGAAACATAAACTAAAAGGTCTATATTTTGTTTCTTGATTGGTTTGATGCAACAACTTCTTTACCTTTTGTCCATGTAGGATCCACCAGGAACAGGAAAAACACAAACAATTTTTGGGCTTCTTAGTGCCATATTACATACCAACTGAGTATCTAAGTCTCTTAACTTTGTAAGACATTGATTACTTGAGGGTATTTTTAGTAACATTGTAAGAGATTGATTACTTGAGGGTACTTATGGTATATAATGTTATATTCTTTTGTTAACATGGTCCTTAGTGCAATGAATTATCTTTATTGTTTATGGTATTTTATTTTGTATTATGAGACTTTTAATGTGTTATTTAATTTGAAAATTAGTAAATCTATCAAAAAAGTATTTTATTTCTATTATGAGAAATTAAATGCAAATTTAATATAAAAATTAATAAATATATAATTTTTTTTAAACATTTAAATATACGATACGCAAAAATGTGTGTCATCTTCATTTATGACATGGCCTTTCTTGACAGGGGCTTTCTTGATACGCATTGCGTGTCATTAACACGCACGTCGTAAGGTTACGAAACGAGAATGTGTGTCGTCTTCCTTTATGACAGGGCCTTCCTTGATACGCATTGCGTGTCGTAAACGCGCGTCGTAATTGCGCGTCGTAAATGAGCATCGTAAATGCGCATCGTCTATAGACGACGTGCAAAAGCGCGTCGTCTTTCTTTATGACAGGGCCTTCGTTGATGCGCATTTGCGCGTCGTCTGAGCCTTTTACGACGCGCAATGAGCGTCGTAAAAGGCTGTTTTTCTAGTAGTGAATAAACAATTTGGGGTAATGATCCTAATCCAATTTCTTGCCAAAACATAACCTTTCCCATTTTACACTTCAAATTCCATCGAACAATCCAAGGTTCAAATTCCATCGAACCTCCAACAGAGTTTAAAATTTATTCCATTGAAGCCCAAGGCCTCCATTTGATCCATTTATTGTGCATAATCCTGAAATAAGAACTTCTCAAAACAGGATGTTATACAAGATGGCATAACTTTGGGTAGTCTATCCCCATAGTGGAGTTCCAAAGTTTTAATGATGGGGATAGCCAATACCAGGAGTAATGCAACATTGCTTTCATATTTTTATCAAGGAGAGATATTTTTCTGTCTTCACCAAAATGGTGAACCATCTATGAGTAAGTTGATGGGTCTTGAGCACTCTAACAATCTTAAGGTGCACATACAACCATAAATTCTTTGGATCAATGTTTTCTCTAATTTCACGTGTAGTTTGTTTTTACAAAGCATTGTCCTAACTAGCATAAAAAACATGGGTACTTGTATAACAAAAACTAGTTAGATGACTTACCTCTTGTTGTATCTAGTTGACATGAACCATTAAGAGCCTAGCACCCCAAATGTTATGCCTCAAATTCTTCACAAAACACCATCAACAATCTAGGAATTTGAGAGAGAATCACTTGCACACAAAATTGGCTATATCTCTTACAATGAACACATGGGGCCGATTTTGGAGACAAGAGGGTTTCTTTTATAGTGTGGCAAAACCGTAATGGACCATGACCTTTCATATTACATAGGATCAATGGATTAAACCTCCATGGACTATCAATGGACTATCATATTAGTTTAGCCCATCTTAAATAACCATAGGCCCATACTATAAGAATCGTTGATTTACCAAATCAATCCTCTTACATTTAATTAGTCTCTTTTGATAACTAAATTAATTCCAAACTAATTCTTGATGAATACTAATTAAATAATATGATTTCATATTAATATATTAGAACTTATAATATATTAATAAATCATAAATAACCTCTTCTCAAAAGTCCATCCTTACTAATTGTTCCGGTGAAATGCAATCCAAATGGACCATGCTACTTTCGGGTAAATTACATACCAAATATAGTTATGGACTTAGACACCTTATCCAACATAAGTATGTCCTATAACTTGCAACTTACTTAGAATAAAGTATCAACTTTCCTTTTATAAATTTCAAATAATAACACATCACTTCTTATGCAACTCGCAAAATTAAGAGAATAATCGATTAATTGTTCTTTAACTTTTATAAAATTCAAACAATAATCCATCACTTTATCAATTTTAGTTACCTTTCATCTACCATCGCCATTATATGTCCTCGACAATCACTATTCCATATATATTTTCAAGAAAAAAATTGAAGTACTTTTATACAAACAAATTAAGAAAGAAAAGATGATGAAAATAGGCACACTAAGGTGGGATGATGGTCGAGTACCTATAGATCCTTTGAGGTGTTGTTCGTGATTCTTCAGGCCAGCAGTGGGATGATGGCAGGATCAGTATTGTACTACTAGCTTTTGATTCCAATGGTTGGATGGTGTCATGATGTATCGTGAACCAATGAGTATACGTTGAATGTGGGTTGGACATGATAGTTTATGTGTTTGAGACTCTCAAGTCTTGATTTGATAACTCTTTTTACATACTTGGGTATTAGATCACTATGGTTAGACCGTTGGAGGCCAAGTGGCCAGTTGGTTTTTGATCATACATTGTTAGAACATTATTTTGTTGGGTGTCTTAGTTATTTATCAAAATTCACTTATTGAGTGTTTATATTTGTGATCCCTATTTGTTTTTGTGGCCCTTTTACGGGAGTTTGGTTACCATGTCAGGTTTTGGAGTTACCCTTGTTATGTTATAGTAAGTCAAGTGGGCGTTTAAGGTCATTTTGGCACAGATTTTCGGATCTGAGGCTAGTTGGGTTGTTTTGGTAAGAATGTTTTGAGTGCTTGCTTCAACGGGGATTGACAATTTTTCTTAGTCATCAAGACTAAGGGATGTGCATATCAAAAGGTAATCATTTGTCTTCAGTTTGATTTCCAGATTTTCTAATCGATGGGTTCCTAGTCTTGTATAGTTTATCATTAGACTTGGCTTGTGGTCGCACTATTGGAGTTCCGGGTGTAAGTGTTTTTTGGTAGGAGTTTGATCAGACCGTTAGTGAGAAAGAGGTAGTCATTTTATTTGAGTATTTACAAGTGGTTGGGTTTGTTTTGGTGGCCTTGTGCAGATTCTGAGTGGCCTCGAGAACCCTTGTTGTTTGTTTGAGGAACTATTTATTAATTATTGGGTGAAGGTGTAAGGGATTGCGTTGGGGCGGTCTATTGTATTTTAGTTGTGATAGATTTTGAGGAAGAAATGTAGTTTAAGTGGGGGATAGTTGTAACATCCGCTTTTGGGATGTTTCTTATTTTGGAATAACGGAGTTTAATTTAGTCACGAGAAGGTATCAAGATTTTAAAGACGAGATTTGGACCTTAAAGGATTGAGATTTTGAGCTACATGTATAAGGATTATTATTTGAAGGGCTAGTTTTAGACTGAGGCGTGATTTGGTCTTAACCTAATTCCGCCTTACTGGATCAAGCCAATAAGGACACGACACAAGGAATATCAAGATGTGAATGTTGGTGTAGCCCAAACCCATGGTTTTAGGGTTTACCCCATCTTTAAAAGGATTTTGTAACATTCACATTTCAGATATATTCCTATTTTTCCCTCAAACTTAAAAATTATTTTATTTAGGTCTCTGGCTAGTACGTTTTGCATACGCTAAGAATATGTTGGGCATACTGGACCAAAAATTTGGTCGTGGAGTGTCATAACCCCAAACCGGAATGATGGAAACGTTTGGGAGCATAGGACGTCATGTACATTATCACAGAAATTTTCTAATATTAATCAAAGTAACAACCATTTTATTAATAATATAGTATTTACATTGTATTCGAATCACATATGATTGACACCAAAAAAGTAATTAGCAAAACAAAGAGATGAAGCTACTATGCTCTGCCTTCTTGAAACCCGTGCGTGCACCTGTCTACTAGTTTCCTGAGAATACAAGTGGTTTTAAAAGTTCCAACATTAAAGCTGGTGAGTTCATAAGCATTTTGTTTTTGAAAGTATGTTCTTTGTTTCGTGTAAACCTTGGTGTGTTCCTCCAGAAAATCCTATATTTTCTGATGTAATATAATATAAGAAATGTGACCCATACTAGTTCCCTCTATGTGTACTTAGGGGATACAAGCTATACACAACCTAAATCGAACAAGAAATCGATAGTGTAGTTCTGTCCTAAGCCCAAAACCAAACAAGGAACAGGAAATGAGGTAGAACCACACATTCCACTGTCTGTTGAATCTTCTTTGTATATTACCGTAATGTATTCATTAGGTACTTACAAAGTTAATTGTAATGGTCCTTTTAGAATGGTGAGTGTGTGTTCTTTCAGAAAATCCGATATTTTCTTAGTATAATTGAGATGTAGTAGTAGACCTTAAGACCAAAACGTATGCATGTTAATGTCTGCTAAGTTGGTATACTGGTAGTTTTATTACTTGATAAAACTATATTTATATATGTTTTCCCTAGAACTGTAAGTTTTATACATAGAAAATGGTGTGTGGTACGGGTATGTGTTGGTATGACCTATATCTGTTCTCCCTATGATTACATAGTGCATACGAGTTATATATAATCAGGATCGAATGGATGGTTGATTGAGTGATTTTGTTCTAAGCCCAAAATCAAAAAAGGAATAGGATGTAAGGCAAAAAGTACGAATTCCATTGCCTATTGGATATTATCTATATATAACCCTGATGTATATACCAAGGAATCCTAGAATTAGCAATAACGTTCCTTCTGATTCTACTTGTCTGTAAAGTCATGTATTGTAGTTTTATAATTAAATAAAACTATGTGATGTTTGTTTATGTATTCATATAGTAATCCTATTGTTAATACCGAATTTTGAGTCCTTAATAACCATGCTAATATGATGGTTGACCTGATATGACATTCTTCAGGCGTCAGAATCGCTTATGACATTTGTCACCCCATAACTTTTGTTTCAACTATAGCTAATAGTTAGGGCATGGGGTTGTTAGTCCCATATAGATATATACACAAACTCATTCTCTCCCTCCAAGAGACTCTGGTTAATAAGGCCTGGACATTCGTTGGCACTCAGATAAGTACTTGAAGATGTGTCTCACAAAGCATTAGTATATATGATAAACGGTTACGTGTAGAATAGAGAAAACCTTTTTATAATGATAAACGGTTTGTATTATCCT